AACGTTGTAGGTATTTACTTTCTTGAAAGTAATAATTTTTTGTGCCTCTCTACTATACACCTTGTTTTAAAATAATGTTCCTTTTGATATACTTGGCTTATCTGAATTTCTAGACAGACTGTAGCCATGGACAGACACTTCACCAGATGTTACAGAACCATGGAAAATGTTACTGCTTGTTTTATTCCTTAGGCCAATCAACAGGTATGAATTCTGTCCCAAGTGCTTAGAATTTATTTATATTTACATGGAACATGAATGGTACAGGCAAGAATGGAAAGTATGTTGCTTCCATGTGATCACTACCCATTCCAAATACCAGTGTCCGAAACTGGTCATGACCTTATTTCCTGCTGAGCTGAAACTTGGCCTCAGAATCCTTCTCAAGAGCAGTGAATCCAGTTACCATAAGCAAATATCAACAAACTTGCTGAGCAGTCTACAGTTAAAGTATCTTCCTAAAAGCATCACAGGTGTCCCTCTTTCTTTATTGATTACAATGTGATTATCTTTCCTGAAATTCTCAAATCTTTTGTGTTGTTTTCATTTTGAAAAAAGTCAGTTTTTTTTTTTTGAAAATGAACTTTTATTGAATAAAAAAAAATACCCTGTAATACCTCTACATGCACATTAGGGACTCAATAAATATTTGTATCTTAAGTAACCTTAACACTAGAAATAGAAGACAGAAATATCAAATGGAGCCAGAGGACACTGTCTCACTGATTCCTCTGTTGGGGGGCAGGTCCTTCCAGATATTCATGGAAGAAATCACACACCAAAGGGCCCCAACAGATTAAGCCCTGGGAAACTGGCAGAGCAAAGAAGAAATGTGGAAGTTCCAGTTTCTTTTGTGTTACAAGTTTCCAAAATATGAGGAAATATGCCAAATGCTTTTGGCTTTCAAACGATAATATAGTCTGAATTAATGACTAATGAGGAAACGCCCACTGAGAGTTCATGGACAGTATCTCTCCAAAGGTCAGATCCTGTTGGCAAATGACCAAAGAACCCTTCTTTCTTAAGCTAGCCAACAACTTCTATGGCCAGGAAGTACTTTGCCATCAACTCAGCGAGCAATTAAAAGCATCATTTGAAATTAATCTAAAAACTCCACTGAAAATACCAAAACTTGTGCATGAATATTTGATTTGGGTCTCAGGATTTTAAGGGAAATTGTTTTTAAAAAGTAGAAATGTAAAGATAAGCCATTTTAAAAGAAAGATATTAGCTTGTTCTCCTTTACCAGTTTAGTGGATAAACAATAATGCTCTGAGGCTAATTTTAAGGCAAATGCAATAAAATGATATGCATTTCTTCAAATTAAGTATACATCCTAAAATACTCCTAGCACATTTGTTTTATTTCAGATTTTGAGAATTCCTAAATGAATTAGTTCCTAAATTAATTCTTTAATTAACATCAACATATATGATGATTTTTTTCTGATTCCAGTAAATTTCAGCAGAATAAGAAACAACTAATAGGTTCTGATTATTTGTTTAATGCAAGTGAGTAAGAATACATTTATATAAATTTAATATTCAATAATATGTTCACTCACCATTTACTGAACACCTGTGCAGCACTGGGAACTTTGATATTGGGAGACAGAGACATAAACAAAATCTACGAGGTTTCAACTCTCATGATGTTTTTAAATCTAGTCAGAAATTTTACATTAAATAAGTACAGAAACAATTCAATAATTAAGAAACATACTAAGTAATCAATAAAGGATATACATCTTTCAGTTTACTTTAAAAACTATGGCTTCCTAAATAGAAGAAGTGATTTTATCTAAATTTGATTTGTCCTACAAAATAGCTTCCATTTCAATTTTCAACATACAGAAAATCTATTATAGACACATGAGATTATTTCTAAATGTAAAAATGACAGAAGGAATTTTTTTCAGGAAAAAGTAGTTTTTTTTTTGTTTGTTTTGTTTTTAAGAAATACTTTTAACCAAGGCAGTTTCCAGGGGAATTAATGACTATTTTAGGTTAATGGTCATTGGCTTCATGTTTGGCCTTCAATTAAACTCTGATCTTTAATTATTATGACTTAATTGATTTGATTATATTTCATGTTAGCATTTCAAAATGACCTTCCTTTTAAAAAATAAAAATTACCCTAACATAGTACCACACGTCTTTGTTGAGCCTGACATTGTCACTGCCGTCCACACTAACTTTACATGTGGTTGAGCCTAGAAGCTGCTTAGTTTGCAAGGTCTCATTAGGGTCCTCTCTATCATTCTTGCCTATGCTGTTAGACAACTCAGGGTAAATCCAAGTGAGGGAAAAGAAATGAAAATGAAATATATTTGATGCCATGATTATGATTAAAATGCCAACAAAATCCACCCAGATCCATTTTATTCTAAGTGCAGGGGTTAGACAGTGTTAACAAAAGCTTTGAGTCACACAATTAAACACTGTCAAGTTAAGCTCATTAAAAAATGTTACTATATGTATCTTTTCATTACAAATGACTCCAAATGTTTAGTTGTTCTAGTTAATTAGATGAAAATTTAAATTTCTTACACAGGGAACAATGAAAACAAGCTGGATTTACTTAATCAATGAGCTGGATTTTACATAAAGTAGTATGACACCAAGTTTGGAGAGTGCTATACTGACTGGGACAAATTAAGGCATCAAATGAACATGTCCCCTCCCCCTGTATTGTGGAAAAGTTTAAAAAGTTTTTTTTGTTTTTTTTTTTTTTGAAGTACTTTGATCAAGCTTTGAAATCATTTTAGTGGATTCCTATTGTATGAAAACTGTAATTTATAGTGCTTGACCTAAGCAGCTCTTTTGTCTCAGAGCCATATTCAAAACAATAGCAGGAAAGTAAAAAACACAAGGGGAACTCAAGCTGTTCTGGTTATTATTTAATTCATAATTCTATCTTCCTTATTTAATCTTCAGAATCCAGGCATGTTCTCTGATACCAGGTTCAGAATGTATTTAGTGTATATAGGAGGGTTAGTTTTGAGCAATACTATCAGAGGATCCAAACTTTGTCTCAGGCGACCAATTCCTTAACAGAAGGGACTTTACACAGGCTCAGACAGGCGCTTCCCTGTAAAGGGGGACACTGCAGGCACACCCCCATTGTTGCCTTTTCGCTTCCTCTCTAGTTAAGCTTGTTTGTTCCTTAACCCTGATCAAGAATGTGCTGGCCAGGAGAAATTCTCCTCCCATTCTTGTCATAAAATTATAATACTTTGAAGCAATCAGCTCCCATCAGATCACACAGACAATGGCAAGCTGACCCCGAGAAGAAGGAGCTGAGTAATTCGCTAACTAAATCATAGAGTCATTTTACTATTTTAATTCACAATTTTAATCAGATGAACAACACTCAGGCTGAAAGGAGCTATAAAACCCTACGTGTTTTGTTGGCTCCTTTTGCCAAAACACTTAGTGAAGGCATAAACCTCGTACCGTATTTAATCCTGTAAAATCTGATTACCTTAGTTAAAAGTTTTTATGATCCTACAGGTGCCTCAGAGGAATATTTTGACATGTGATGGATGCTTCTTGGGTTTTGCTTGTCCCTGAAGAGATTAGGCCAATTGTTCCACCCCCCACCCCCAACAGATGCATTGGGGCTTAGATGAGATGTATTTTGATCCTGGGATCTTTTTCTAGAAAGAAAAGGAGCCAAAGGGTAGTGAGATATGCAGAGTAGAAGCCATGTGGAAGGAAACTGGCAAAGGCCAGTGAAGGGAAGATGGTCTGAAAGATACGAGCAGCAAAGGAAAGGAACTTGAAGGTCCTGAAGATTTAATTCATTTGAAACACAAGGTCTGTCCAAGGGCACAGGTTAAAAAGAGCAAACCTCTGAAGTATCTTGGCTCAGAAGAGGAAAGCAAACAATGGGTGTAGCTCCCTGGTGAGAGGCCAGTGAATTAACTGTTCACTTGGCACTGTGCATTAATTAGTGTGGCCCATCAGGGACCATTTAGTAGATTACCTCATCAGGGCTCTAAGCAATTCCCTGGTGGCTTGCATGAGTTAATGCACCCCCCCCCCCCCAAAGACCAATAATTTATCATCTTTTCCAGGGTGGAATTGTGCCTTGCAGATAATGAGCAGGTACATACACCTATGGTTAAAAGAAAATTATTTCCCCTGTAGGTTCAGCTTTCTATTTTAGAAGCCTGAACCTTCTTTTTTGTGTGTGATTTTAGGAGCGTTTTTGAAGAGTTGCCTTACTAGAAGAAAAAAGAAAATTCTCAATTGTTTGTGGTTTTGTTTTGTGGAGTTGTGGGGAGAGGAAAGGGTGGTGGGAAGGAGTCCATGAAGTTACCCTAAGTCTCAGTACTGGATCAGCTTAGGTCTGAACCCTTTCCTCTCCTTACTTCAAACGGGTCTCTTGTGTGTTTGTGGGAGCAGATGCTTGGCAAGTCTCTGTACACCAGAGAGGACATCAGTTAGCATTATGTTTTACACACACTCCTCCTTCCTGGCGTGGCATAATTCATTAGCGCAGTGTGCAGGATGTTCCATAAAACAAGATTTTGCTTTAACGTTAATGTTCTAATGACGACAGCAATAAAAATAAGTTGTCATCCCATGTCTACTATCCAGGGCTGATGTTTATACTGTCTAAATTAAAAAACAAAACAAAACAAAAAAAACAACACATAGAGATGAAACACAGATAAGTGTTTTAACATAAAAGAAAAAGACAAGAAGACTTTAAGCTTCTGATTTGGGAAATTACTCCCTTCCTTCCCACACCCTCCAATTCACATGTAGTAGATCTAATCCGATTAGTTTTTGTGTGGGAAAAAAGCTTCCTTTTAAGTAACTTGTAACATTATTGCAGCATGTAGTTTGCTGCTAGTTTCTTTCTCTCTTTTAAGGGCCAAATAGTAAAGCTTCACTCATGGAGACAAGGGGGTGTCTTTGGGGACTACCCATGCCTTCCCACAACACATTATGTCAGGGTGCCAGGTAGAAGAATATACACAAAATGCAAGCGCCTTTTTAATTTTTTAATTTATTTGGGCACATTCATCATAAATTTGTTTAATGTAAAACAAACAAATCCTTGACAAGGGTTTAACAGGATTTTCAACATCTGTGCAGATAAATGTAATTTATTCCTCAAGAGAAATAGCAGTGTAAAGCATGCCATGAGCCTGCCTTTAACATGTTTAAACATTTTTGTTCAAAATGTTTGTGCGCATGTGTGTCGGCACACGCGCATATCAAGGCAATATGGTAGTGTTCTCAAATCATCCTATTTATTCACAAAATCTGCATGATAAATTTTACACTGAAATACAAGTTTGTTTGACACCTCTTTATCACTGTCTTCCTCCTCTCTTGCGATTTCATATTTCATGTGGCCGTCTCACTACAAAGTCTGGTTTGGATTCCAGGTGTTTGTGTACTTTTAAAGGAAAAGCAATGAGCAGAGTTTTGCAAACCTTCTTAGGTACAAAGTGAACTAAGGAGCAGTGCCAAACTTAGTCTTCTGAAGAACCAAGTAATATGTACAACATAAAGATGTTTGCAAGAGTTACATTTTGATTAATATTTCCAAAATCACCTATTTGAATTATAAAAGCTATATTTTATAAGCATGGGGGTAAATATTTTGCTAAACACATTTTTTGATATATTTTTAATTTACTAAAAGATAGGTTTTTAATTAATTCATTTTGTTTTAGACTGAAGTCTGGTGTCTGGTCTGGTCTGTAGTATACAAAGGCGAATAAATTAAAGTGAGCAAATACAAAATATCCTTTATTTTGCTAATTTAAAAATTGCTCCAAGTTTATTTCTGGTATACTTCGGTCCTTTAAAGCTGAACATCTCTAATGTATAAATTATTTGAGTGTCATAAAATTATGTGGTATAAAAGGCAGACACAAAGCAGTGTAAGGAATGTGTTTTAAAAAATTGTTGCTCATAAAAATTCTGGCTAAATTAGCACTGACAGCTAGCCATGATTAAAAATAAACTCTGGACAATGCTGGCCCAGAATTTCAGTCCTCTCCCCTAAGCCTCTAAGCCAAAGATGTGTGGCTCTCAGACACAATGTAACCAATGCTTTTAAATGAGATAAATGTAAAATGTTTGGAGTTCAAATAAGCATTATCAAAGAGGAAATTCTCATCAAGTATATTTTTGCAGCTTGGCTTAAAGCCACAGAAGCCAGGAAATTGTAAAGCCTGAGCAGAATAAGCATGTGACATAGGCTACCATCTAGGTCAGCTGCAGCCCTGCAGGTGACAGCCAAACTTGGATTCAGACTTTTTTGTCTTCAGCTTTTGTAGGTTTGGCTAGGTTATTCCAGGACAGTAATGCAAGGATGGGTACCTGTGAGTACACATGAAGAGAAGGGGGTGTGGGATAAATGGAAGCTTGGGGGGGGGGGGGAAAGGAGATGATTTGGTAACTGGAAGGAGAATTGAAAAATCACACCTTTCAGTCTCCACATTTTTTCTTTTGTTCAGTACACAAGGAGAAACCATCCGGAAGGAAGAAAGATTATGACTATCTATAAACTAACTGTTTGACAGAGACAGAAATGCTGATAATGAGTGGGTTGTGTCTGTAGTTCTTGGCTGTTCACATCAGCAAGGGATGAAGGAAAACAGAAACTCCTGATATGTTTGTCTAGAGAGGTAGTGGTGAGACCACGGCGGCGAGAGTTCAGCTGAAGTTCAGGGCAGATGTTGCCAGGAGTTTACGCTGCAGGAAAGTAAAATTGCTTCCGGATTCACCTCTTCCTTCAAGCTTCTCTTCCAGGATCTTCAGGGTCAAGTTGTGCTATGGCATAAGGTGACAATGTCTGTGGGGAAACAGGCTTTGAGCAGGATGCCCCTCTCCCGGTTGCAGTCCAACTCCTGGATAAATCCATACCAATAGATGACCAAGCCCGGCCCAAATCTGCAAGAAACACCAGAAAATAACATGCACACATAGTATCAATATAGGTAGTTCCAGAAAAATGTCATTTTGGAGGCACAGATAATATGATTAAATGACTAGGCTGCACAAAGTTGTTTTGGTTGCTATTATTATGAATGAAAGTCGCTGAACTTATACCAAAGAGCTCATTTAACATAGAAACTTTTCTTTTCCAGGAACCTGAAAAATTCAGATGTAGGAACTACCCATAACACCTTTCTATAAGGTGTTATGAGCTTGGGCTAATGTGGCTACTTGGCTGACAAGGAAAAAGCCAAAGTATAAACAGTGATAAACTGGGGCATACCTGGCTTGGGATTAATATTTAATATTTATTGGTGCTATTTTAAAAATTAAACTTGTTCACTTTTTTATTTTTGGTGCCAGGGATTGAACCCAGGGGCACTTAACCACTGACCCACACCCTCAGCCCTTTTTATATTTTACTTTTTTGAGACAGGGTCTGAGTTGTTGAGGCTGGTCTTAAACTTGTGATCCTCCTGCCTCAACTTCCTGAGCTGCTGGGATTACAGGTGTGTGCTACCAGGCCTGGCTAAACTTGTTCATTTTCAATTGAGGAAATGAAAAAGAGTGTTTTAATAAAATTTTTAAAAATGGAATGGCTTTATGTCCTCTCTGGCTATAATGTTGTATTCTTGCACCAACAAGGCCAGAAGCATCTCCTGTCATACACTCTTTCCAAGTATTAAAAGAAAAGAAACCCATGCCTATAATCTCAGTGACTCGGGAGGCTGAGGCATGAGGATCATAAGATCTAGGCCAGCCTGGGCAACTTAGCAAGACTCTATCTCCAAATAAAATAAAAAGGGCTGGGGATATAGCTCAGTGGTAGAGTACCCTGGGTTCAATCCCCAGTACCTGCCCCCTGTCCTCTACAACCCATATGACAAACTGGGATTCTTTAAAGATACCTTCTTTCCAACACTTTACTTTGTGCATTACAACCTAAGAGCAGATTCAGCATGAAATTTAGTCACAGGTTCTCGTGGAAAGAAGTAATAAAATCATACAGACTTGTGGCAAAGTATAGACAGATAGATGCAGGTTTAAAACCTCAACGTTTCTAAGTTGTGCCTCCAAATTATCTCCAATTTTGTTAGCAGTGACTGATCCCCGCCAGGCAGACTCAGGAAGTGGCCCTGTAGACTACTTCACCCATCAGGAAGTTGAGACCTTTAGGCTGGGTTCATAAAGATGTAATCACTATCAATCACTGTGCACAGAGAGATGTTTTGCACATCAGTTTCACGTTTTTCCTACCGAGAGCACTTAATTAAAGGGCAGCACTACTTTTGGTGTAGTGTTGCAGGAATTTTACAGTGAAATCATAAATTATGAATGTTGGGTTAGTAAAAGGATGTCTAAAAACAGAACTGCTTTCTGTATTCTAACATTACAGCAGGCTGAGCCATGCTAGGCCAAAAGCTTTTTCCTTCTATGATTTATTATATGCTGTGGTGTACTTGCCAAAATTAACAGTACAGGATGGGCTGTGAGATACTGTATGCACAGGAACAAGTTCAGCTGGATGTCATGGACTGGTTTATTTGGGGATTCACATCAGTAGGGTAGGCAAGTTAGATTCGAGATGTGTCCTAGGGGTTACAGAAACTGGGCTGGATGAGAAGCCTTGGAGCATAAGGCCCAAGATTCACCCAAATTCAGGGATGACTGCAGATCCTCTCTTCTTCCTTTGCATCTCCAAGGAAGAGGTTCTTTTGAGTCAAAAGAATTAGGCTACCCATGCCTGAGGTGTAAGTCCCAGTGCTGGAAAGCAAACGAATTCCCCCTGGATTAATATTTGCTTCCACTCAACAGAGGGTATCTTAGTAACTTAATCAGGAACAATGTCTCAAACTTGAACATATATTATTTGGTACCTTTATTTTATGGTATCTTAGTAACTTAATCATGAACAATGTCTCAAACTTGAACATATATTATTTGGTACCTTTATTTTATAAATAGCTCTGTGATTAAAACCAAATGAGTCAGAGTTATGAAAAAAAGCCTGGCAGGAGCCACAAGATCTGTGAATATGTGGACCATGTCTGTGAGGCCTCCAACTGTCCCAATGGTGATGCGCTCGAGTCACAGATCTAACAGTAAGCAGGACAAACACTCCTTCCTCCATTTTATTATATGGTTATTCTGGAGACCACAATGTTCTTAGAAAGGCACTAATAATTTTACAAAGGGAGAAAAAATGTGATCTAAAGAGTCATGGAAAAGAACAAAAGAATGTATGGGGGTCATAAAACAAGCCCACTATTTTAAAGATTTAATAAAACAAAAACACATATCACCAGCACTGAGCGAGTGAGAACAGCCTGTACTTTTCCTGAACAGCTAAATCACAAACCAAAGGACTCGAAGCATGACAGCTCTTTACAAAAATGGCATTTCCTAGGTAGAGATGCCAGGCTGGGGACACCTCATTGCCCAAGAAATAGGACTTGTTTCACTTGTGAGGCAACAGATGAAACCTGACAACTCAAAAAGGTCTTGCAAGACTGCACCTGAACATTTCATGTGGTGGATCACAACCAGGATTCCCTTGAGGTAGTAACACCATCTACAAACATTCTCAGGACTCACAAGAAGTCTCTACCAACTCTCCACATCTTTGTTTCTTATGAAAGAAAGTTAATGTTAGCTCTGTCATGTAGCTCAAAATCTTTCCTTGACAGTGTGTGTCTAATTTAAAATGAAGAAACAAATTCCTTTTTTAAGTAGAGAGGGGTAGAGAGGCTTTCAAATTATGTGGTCTATAGGTGATAAAAATAATAGGGACTTGAAAGAGTGACAAGTTTGGAAATTTAATGGCTGAACAGAAGGTAGCCTTATTCTTGGCATCACATCAGTGTATCTCTGAGCTTGCTCCAAGACTTCAGGATCCAAAGATGATCAGATGCTGCTAAGATAGCCTTTCAGCAACTTACTTGTTTATCAAGAGGCTGATCACATTAAACAGCCTTTATAGTCACTTCCTTGGTTATCTAAACTAAGAGAGAAGAATTTTTGGTTGATAACTTGAAAGACCAAGCCATCCAAACCTGTTCATTCTGAAAAGGTGTAAGGCAGGGAGAAAACAGGACCCCAGAAAATTCTTATGTAGGAGCCTGGCGTGGTGGTGTACACTTGTAATTCCAGCGGCTTGGAAGGCTGAGGAAGGAGGATTGCAAGTTCAAAGCCAGCCTCAACAACTTAGTGAGTCTGTAAGCAACCTAGTGAGACCCTATCTCAAAATAAAAGAGTGCTAGGAATATGGCTCAGTGATTAAGCACCCCTGGGTTCAATGCTTGGTATAAAACAAACAAACAAATAAATAAATAAATAAATGTGGGTCAAGTCCTACTTGTAGATTGAGCATTTTCACCATGTTGATACCTATTTTTTATTTACTGTGGCACTATTGGGTAAGAATGAGATCACTGGGAAGAATATATAATCTTTGTGAACAATTAAAATTCAAAGAGACTCTGCTAATGGCATTTAAAAGGAAACAGAATCCCTGGGACTGAGAGAATATACAAAGTAGAGAGTTGTTCTGCAACTGGGATCACAGTCCTGCTGACCAGCCCAGAGACACTTGGTAATGAGAACTGAAAGAACAAGAATTGATTCTGTGAACACCTTTCAAGGTTGGCTAAATCATGACAACCTTATAAATGTATTCAGATGTGTTTCTATGATTTCCTTCCATTTTAGAATATTTAGAGAAATTAAGTAGGAGACTGACAATAAGGCTGGGTACCTTTTGTGTTTTTGTGCATACTTGTCTCTTAGGGATCATCCCTCTGTTTCAGCATTTCTCTCTTTTTTATTCTGAGGCCTTGGTGAGGGCAAAGACCACGTTTTGTTTATATTCTTCAACTCTTGTTATCTGCCTAGTATATGGCAGATACCCTCCTGGACAAGATGGAGAATATGGCATCAGTAATAACAGAATCAGGCAGGTTTGTTGGTTACTGAATCAGTGGTGGCCTACTTTAGAAGTGTTCGTGGCAGGACCCAATTATTGCCACAAGATGACATTTTTCACTATGGTAAGGATGATGGTAATAATAGTTACACAAATGTTCTTACAGGTTGAAAATTCTTACACTGAAAATCTGAAATACCAAGATATGATTCTTTTGGGGTGCTAACATAATGCAAAGTGGAAAATTCCACCCCTGACCTCATATGATAGGTGGTAGTTAAAACACAGGTGCACTAAAAAAAATGCCATAAAATTACCTTCAGGTTATGTGTACAGGGTATAAATGACACATAAATTAATTTTGTGTCTATACTTAGGTGTTACTCTAAAGATATTTTAATATGCATTGCAAGTATTTCAAATTCCTACAAAATCCCAAATCTGAAACACTTCTGGCCTAATAAATTTTGGATAAGGGAGGCTCAACATGTATTAGTACTTTCTTAGCATTTATTGTGTGCCAGACATACTTCTAAGCACTTTATCTACATCAGCTCTTTTAATTTTTATTTTGAGACCCAGTCTTGCTAAATTGTTGAGGCTGGCCCGAAACTTGGGATCCTCCTTTCTCAGACTCCCAAGTTGTGGGAATTACAGGCATGTGCCAATGTGCCTGGCTTGACAAATAATTTTTATGCCAACCTCATGAGGTAGGTTCAATTACCATCCCTGTTCTAGAAATGAAGAAATTGGGGCACAAAGAAATTTAGCAGGTTTCATAAAGCCTCACAGCTGAAATATGGAAAAAGCTGTCTTGGGACCTAGGCAGTCTGTGATTGTAGTAACCTGGTGAAAGAGTATAAATTTTTAACCAGAAAAAGAGGAAATGCCCTTGTACTAGGTAGTCTGTACTGAGAATGTTTTGGAGGACTCTGGTGCCATATCTCCAATCTGGAATTGACCCAGGAGAAATGCAAGACATTTGAAGAACAGTGGAATATGACCTAGAAAAGAACCCTCAGGTAGCAACTTG